TGGGCCAAATTAAGGTGTTTAAATGTTTTAAATATTAATAATATTAACAATATAAAATATTGTTTTCAGACAATAGGGAGGCAAACAAATAATAAAGCAAACAGACAAATAGTTTTAAAGATTACAAATAAAATATAAATAAAAGCTGTGTTGTAAAATAATGTCTATTATGAAAATAAAGTAATTTATAAGATAAAACGTCACAATTTCTAGGCCTACATAAAGTTACATCTTTGATCTTGTGAATTTAATTTTCTTAATATTATACCTTTATTCTCTAAATATTGTCCTGTTATGCGGTCCTTAAACTCCGTCATACAATTGTGCCACATGAGAGGGAAATATTTCACTTCCCTACATTTTTCACTTTATTTAAAATTGAATAAACAGCACTTGAAGGCACCACTGTTACTTTTTTTCAGACATTTAAAGGAAGAATGTGCAGCTTTATGATCCAGTAGATGTCGCCCTTGAGCACCAGCATTAAGCCAAAACAAACTGCTGTTTGGGGACACTGCCATTATTCTGAAGAGACTTGGGTTGGTCAGCAGTTCAAGCCCTGGTGCGGACGAAGTCTGGAAACTGGTCTGGTAGCTGGAGAGCAGCCAGTTCACTTCCTGTCATGTTCAACATCAGTGTAAAATTCAATTTCCCCTCGCTGGATTAATAAAGGATAACATCTGAAGAAACGTTCAAATGATTGGTCAGTCAGTTTTATTTGTAGATAATATAAGTTATGAGTAAAACTGCATTTATCCTTGAGAGCAGAAGTTATCGACCTGTAAAATATGTCCATATTCTGTATATTATCTGTAAACTAGTATAGCACGCTCACTGCACCTTAATCTGTATATTATAATCTGAAGAATATACCGGTACTTATATCTATAGCATTTATTTATATTTATAGCATCCCATTAATCCAGCCATATACACCCAATAATTCACTTTTTTTTTAGTCTACATCTGTAAATTTTGTAATTACTGTACATAGCACAGACTCTTGCACTTTCTGCTTATTGCACTTCTGGTGAGATGCCAAACCTCATTTCGTTACTCTATACTTGTATATGTGTAATGACAATAAAGTTGAATCTCATCTCATCTCTCGTTTTCTCGATTTGAAGACCCAGAAAAGAAGAATAAAAACAACAGAAGACAGCCGTCCATCTTTAAGTTATTTATAGACAACGTACACGTAAAGGTTTCTGAGAGGTTTAGTAATGAACACAGGATATGCTGGGTTACATTCTGATTGATTTAGCCCTTCTTCTTTTTTTTTTTTTTTTAGAAGCTTTTAGAAAGAATTAAAACAACAAAATAAAAGAACTAAGAAAAAAAACGACACCATAAAGCAACAGAGAGGAAATTAAACCTGCATGAAACAAAAAAAAAAACACTTGATCATATTTTCAGTCGCTCAGGACGTCTCTTCTCCTCAGATCTCAGGATCTGCAGCTTTTTTAAGTTTTTCTTTATTGGAGAGGACAGCTGATACGCCCCCTTGTTCCCTATCCCTCTTCCTGCATATCATCCCATGTCCCCCGTATCCCATTTTTCAAACCCGGCGCAGTTTCAGAAGATCACTAAAAGGACGTTTTTCCTCACCTCTGTAACTTCTGCTAAAGTGCACATGATGGATTAACACTGGGTCGTTGTAATATAGCAATGAGTAACGTCTTTTATCTGCTCTTTTTGTAAAGGGTCTCGAGATAACAACTTGTTATGAATGTTGCGCTATACAAATACACATTTGATTGATCGATTAACCCAGACAGAGACTAACAAAAAAGTTCCAAACCATCATGGCGGCCGGTAAAGGTCATGATCAACAGAGCTTCATGAAGGACTTTACTGAGGAGCAGTGAAGAAAAGTTTACTCACTGATGCAAGAAGCTGTGGAGTGTGAACAAGCTGCAGATACTGACAGGGAGGAGGAGGAGAGGAAGGGGAGGGAGAGGAGGAGGAGGAGGAGGAGGAGGAGGAGGAGGAGGAGAAGGAGAAGGAGAAGGAGGAGGAAGAGGAAGAGAAGGAAGAGGAGGACGAGGAGAAGGAGTTGGAAGAGGACGAGGAGGAGGAGGAAGAAGGAGGAGGAAGAGGAGGACGAGGAGAAGGAGGAGGAAGAGGAGGAGGAGGAGGAGGACGAGGAGGAGGAGGAGGAAGAGGACGAGGAGGAAGAGGACGAGGAGGAGGAGGAGAAGGAGGAGGAAGAGGACGAGGAGGAGGAGGAGGAGGAGGAGGAGGAGGAGGACGAGGAGGAGGAGGAGAAGGAGGAGGAAGAGGACGAGGAGGAGGAAGAGGAGGAGGAGGAGGAGGAGGACGAGGAGGAGAAGGAGGAGGAAGAGGAGGAGGACGAGGAGGAGGAGGAGGAGGAGGAGGAGGAGGACGAGGAGGAGGAGGAGGAGGAAGAGGAGGACGGCCGAGCACAGGGAAAACATCGTCATTTCAGAACTGTACAACAAAAACAAAAAACCCAAACACACATCTGTACAAATGTACAAAAATCAACAGGATTAAAACGCTGAATCATCATTTTTTTTTAAATCGTCCGACGTGGTCACCGTGGATCTGACAGGACGACGTCAGAACTCGGACCTGCATCAGAGTCAACGTGCCAGCTTTAAGTGCAATCCACAGCACACCTGAGGCCTCCCGGACGCCGTGTGCTTCTGTGTCCGCCTCCTCCATCATCGGCACGGGCGGGGGGGCGGCCTCGGCGAGTATAAAGGACAGCTGGTTAGTGATCATCATGTTCAATTCTCCAATCACTTCAGTTGCTGTAACCGTAGCAACAAAACACACAAACAGCAAATTAAATCTGTAAAACGTAAAAGAAATAAAAAAAGAAGAGAATCCCTTTCTGCTCCCGGCTCTGCTGCTGAGTGTACGTAACCACGGTAACCAGTGACCTCGTCTTAAAACACACCAAAAAAACCAAACTGAGACCTAAAAGTAGTTAAGTTAAAATGTAGATACACATCTGGTGGAGCTTTTGGATGCAGCTGCGACGGTTTGATCTCAGGTAGAGTCGACTTCAGGTGTTTCAGGTGTGGAGACGTTTATTAACCATCACTTTCTATCAATGTGCACCTCTGAAGAGCTTCATACACACATCATCCTCCTGCACCTGAAGCTACTGAAACCCTACGTTGTGGCCAGAGACAAAGATTAAAAAATAAAAGGTAAAGTAAAAATCAAAAAGGATTTATCCAGCGAGTTTCATAAACATAACTGAGTCAGAATTCAGGTTTTCGGGCCCCCAGTTTCCTCTCCACACATTCATGCCAACATCTCTTGAGGGACCTCAGCTGGTAGCAGTGTTTATATATCGAGTAGAAGTGTGTGTGTGTGTGTGTCTGTGTGTGTGAGACAGGACGAGCAGCAAACATTCTGAACTCATCAGTCATAAAAACATGTGAAGAGGCAGATCTGTCCTCCATCGCAATGTTCAACGCTCTGATAACATAATTATAACCCCCCCTTAACTAAATGATTTCTTTTCTAAACAGCGCCCACAGAAAAAAAGATACATTTTTGCTGCAGTCTGATAAATCATCATGATGATAACAAACACAAACGGTGCGCTGCTTCAAGCAGAGAGAGAGAGAGAGAGCGAGAGAGAGAGAGATCAGTCATCGGTGGCGTTCAGGAGCATTTTAAACGTCAAAAATGAGAGAATTTAAACCTGAAAAGTTCTTAATTAGTCAGCGTCTGCCACTCACTCTGTTTGACCTTCATCATTAAGATTGCAGCTTCTGATGTTTGCATATTGCACTCTGCCGTGTTGCAACATAAACAATACTTAAATTGATTTTGCAGCCCTGAAGCAGAACGGGCGGGGGGATCGTTTACGGCTGTGATTCAACACAAAGAGGTTTGAGATTGAACATGTATTTTTGACAGTTTGCGTCCTTTAAACACAACATGGTGTGCAAAGAAACTGCTTGTGTTTAAAGCCCTTTGTTGAGACGAAGCTGGACCCCATCAGGCAGAACATGATGAAGACCAGGACTCGGTTTCTAAGCAGTATGGGAGTCCTTGTCTCCGGTTTAAGGAAGTAAGGGAGGATTGATTTTAAAATGTATTTCTGCTCATAAACAGGAGGAATATAAAGTATGTGAGGCGTCTACAACAGGAATGAAACTCTTCAGAGGAGACAGCAGGGAAGAGAAACTGACTACAGCAACATTTGTGATCGTGACCTTTGTGCTCAGCAGCAGGTAGTTCACCATAATCCAGAGCGGCCTTTTCACTTCCTGATACGGAAACTGATCACATGATCTGAGTCACACACCTGTCATGAGATCTGAGCAGTGAGAGGAGAGTTCTGGTGGTGGAAACACAAGAGAGAAACAAACAGGAAGGAGAGAGAGAGAGAGAGAGAGAGAGAGAGAGAGAGAGAGAGAGAGAGAGAGAGAGAGAGAGAGAGAGAGAGAGAGAGAGAGAGAGAGAGAGGGGACGGCTAAAGAGCTTGTGATGGCAGAGAAAGTTCCACCGAGGGGGGTGAAGTCAGAGGGGGGCGTTTGTTTTGTTACCCTTAGAGTCGCTGACAGGAAGACGACGCACTAACTTCTTGACTTTCTTTTCCAGGAATCAGAATCCTCCCGTGACTGAGCAAGGAGGGAGAACACAGACTGATGCAAGACCTGACAAAGACCTGACAAAGACTCAAAGCATTTCACTATTTTTTACATCTTGTTTCTGATCAAAAGTAAATCATAAATTAAAAATCATATTTTGAGCATCTTTCTTTTAAAATAAGTCTACACCTTTTTTAAATATCTAAAATAAATCTGCGACTTCAGACCTTTTCCCACTACAGAAACCGAGCCTGCAGCCGCCATCTTTTCTGCAGAGGATCCACAGTTTGTGTTTTACTTCCTCCTTTGACTTCGTCTTTGTAAACTCTCTCAGACTGGGTGCACAGTTTGAGGAATAAGTTACCAGTTTAGCCACATTTTTAATTTTTTTTTAAATCTTCTAAACTTTTCGGCACAACGTGATATCAAATGTATTTTAATAGTCAGAGCGGCAGCAGTTTGTGTTTTACAAACAGAGAGACAGACGAGGAGGTGAAACCGTCCAAACGTTACCAACATGTTCATGTTGGTAACGTTTGGGTTCAGAGTGCAGGCGTTTGTCTGCAGGTTTCAGTGATTCAAAACAAAACATCAGTCAGTGTTGTTCCTCACACCGTGTCCTGACAGCACGCCAGCGTTACACGTCGTCGCATCGAGCATGATCACTCGTGCCCGTCCACACTGCATCCGTTAAATATTTCATTCTTTGATCTGTGAACTTTTTGTTTCCCCTCGCAAACATTATGACATCTGGTGCTTTTGTATTGATGAGCTGTTGACTCAAATCACAACACTTAGAGTATCGATGATTGACGATCAAAGGTCAAAGATCAACATTTAAATCATGGATGTGGATATTATTCATGCACCGTTATCTCCCCCTTGTATAACAAGCTAACCAGCTCTGTGGAGTGATCAGAGCCGTGTAGAGCCGCCTCCCTCGTTTTTCGTTTCCCGTCCACGTCTATGCGAGCTGCAGAGAGGGAAATAGAAACAAGGCGTCGGGGGGGGAGACGGCGCTGCTTCACCGGCAGAATCAGACTGGTTTAGTCGCTGACGCTTGCGCCACGTGCTGTTAGGACATGCTGTAAAATATTGTGAAAATATTGCCCCCAGCTTCGATGATATCAACTTTGCAACTTGTTCATTTTGACTTTTTAAATTCTATTTCTATCTATCAGCCGTGCACAGCTAGAGCTCTATGAACCCCCCTCCCAGAGTAAAGCAGCACGGTTACTAAATCAGGTTTTTGTTTTTTTTTACTTTTCTGCAGCCTCAGGATGAAAGCCACCAGCTGCTCATATCAGCGTATCTCGTTTGTCTGTTTGTCTGTTTATCTAGTGGACCCTGAATTGGTGAAAACTAAATTCTAGGAGGGAAAAACTGAACTTATCTCCAGCTCAGCTTTCTGCAGTCTCCAGTTTCTTCTTCACCTCATTCAACCAGTTCATCGTCTGGGGTCCCAAACTGACTGAAAGCAGGAACTAGAACCAGGTTGTGAAGTTCCCGTAGTGGAAGAAAAAGACCTTTGACTATCTTCACATGTGCTTTTTAATCACTCTTAAATCATTATCTGGCTGATTCAAACTTCTTGCTAACAAACTTTCCAGGGAGAGTCTGTATTGAACTGTTGCTCGTTAATCCTTTCAGTTTGCAACACACACACACACACACACACTCGCTCCTGTCTAATGTGTTTCAGGCTCTACCTGTCAGGAAGTTTCTGGGTTTTTTTTTTTGCATGCTGGGTTACTTAGAAAAAACAACCCCCACTTTCCGAACGCTGCATTTCTACAAGGCACTATGTGACATTACAGGCCGAAGGTAGAGTTAGTCTTCAGGTGCAAAACACTCACAAGGAGACCAGCTGATTTGTCAGAAGCATCTATATTATTAGGGTTAGCTAGAAAAGCTCTGGGTTTAGCGTAACGTCTACATTCTGTTATTTATAAAAAAGTGTTTTTAAGCTCGACATGAAGCTGGAGACAGATTTACAAAACAGGCCGATAAAATACCAAAACGTGTGTTACAAAATAAGCCTCTTCTGGTGTCACACCTGAGGGACAGAGGGGGATAAAGGTTAGAGCACCAAACATGTGCTATCTCCCTGCAGAAATGACAAGCAGTCATCATGTGTAGTTCACCGTCATTAAAAGGTCAAAGGTCATTAAAAAGGAAGAGAAAGGTGGAGGGGGACGTGATGCTTCTCGTTAGCACCGCTGTGTTCTGTAGTGACGAGCTGCAGCCTGATTAACAGTCAACAGAGACGGGGGGGGGGGGGGGGGTATTTCCTGGAGTCCTGCAGGTCATCCAGTATATTCCACATGTGATTGTTTAATCAGGAAGAGGTTAATCCCAGCTGGAAAAAAAAAAAAAAAAACAATAAAACATTTTGGTTTGACCTCCGGAGAGAATTAATCCTCAAGAGGCGGAGAACGACCGATGATGGAGAGGAGAGAAAGTAGTTCCTCCTGGACGTGTGGACGATGACGTCAGGAGGAGCGTTTTCATCTCTCAGTCGCTGCTGTCGTCTTCGTCGTCGTCGTCCGACATGTTGCTGCTGTTGAACTTTGACCCCGGCCGGCTGATGGAGTCCGAGCGGATGGAGAGGCCTCCCGACGTCAGCTGCACGAAGCAGAACTCGCAGACTCGGACCGGTTTGGACGACTGGCTGGGCAGGAGGTACTTCTTATCCGAGCACGGCCCGCACACCACGTAGCCGCACTTCCTGCAGTGATGGCGGCGGCTGACTGGCGTGAACTTCACCTTCTGGCAGCGCATGCACACCGTCGCCTCGGAGTCGGGCACCCAGACGGCGGCGTGCTCGCCCGTCGGGGACTTTCCGCTTTTCTGCAGCAGGTCGCCGACACACTTCCCGATGTGGTTCATCCACTCGGACTTCTCCGTGGCGGTGGCGGCGTACACGGCGAAGGACTTGGTGGGCGTCTTGATGAGCCAGCCGTTGTGCAGGTCGCCCTCGTCGGGCACCGTGTCGATGGTGACGCTCTCCAGCGGGATGATGTGCTGCTTGTTGTACTTCTTCTTCTGGATGACGATGTTCCCGTACACGAGGATGTCGTTGAAGAGGAAGAACTGCCGCGCCTTGGGCTTCTTCCGGCACAGTTTGGTGAGGACGCCCTCGCCGATCAGCACGCGGCCCGGGATCGCCAACGGCTGCCCGGCCGCGCCGAAGCAACCCTCCACCACCGCGATCCGTTTGGAGTTGGCCTCGCTGTTGGCAAGCCGGTCGACCATCTTCACCTCACCTGCAGGAGAACGGAGAGAGGGGAATGTTTGAGTGTTTTTACATTTTCACAGATTTTAAAAAACAAAGAGGAAGTCGTCGTAAAAGAAGAAATAGCACAGCAGCGCTCTCAGGTTTCTCCCAGTAGGCCTTTAAACTGGCTGAACTTGCTCCTTAAAAGGTTGAGAAATAAATAAATCAGTTCCATATCAAAGTTTCCCCGACGCTCTTTGAAAGACACGAGATGGAAAATAGAGGCGGTGTAGTTTGAGCTGCGTCTTCGTTCCTCTCCTGAAATCACTCACTAAGTCACTCTTCCTCTTTCTCTCACTTGTTGAATCTCACTTTCCTTATCGACGTCACCGTCTGAGCGCCACCACATTTCAAACATCCAAAGAGGCGTCACATGTGCGCAGAGTGTCACGCTCTGATTTAACAGGAACACGCGAGGATTAAAGTGGAGCTGCACAATGTGACTTCACGCATCGATCTGCTGATCACATTCAGATTAACAAACATCTGATCCCAGTCATATGTCGAGTTTATCAGCTCCAGCTTTTGATGTTCAGCTGCTGCAGAGTGAACATTTCATCAAAAACAACAAAGCATGAGTTCATAATCCTTGGCTTGTTCTCAGTTCAGAACAAGATCAAATATATTTCTGACTTTTTCAAAAACACTGTCACTAATATTTCAAACAGATATTATGAAACTTCTCTGAATAATTCGGACCAAAGAAACTCTATGATGAAGAAAGAATAAAATCCTCTTTCAGTCCATTTATTAGCTTCCAGTGCAATTAGAGATGCAACCATTTCTTTATTAGTTGACCAGCCTGAGAGATGATGTGCCGATGGAAACATGAGCTAATCACACCTATTTGGTTTTTTGAACCAGGCTGTAAACATGTTCATCTCTTTCAAAACAGGCTTTTTAGAATGGGTGTGTATGTGACTTCCTGTGCTTCTGCAGCCAGCCTCTAGTGGACACTCCAGGAACTGCAGGATTTTACACTTCTGCATCAATTGGACCCCGGTCAATTTTTTCTGAATATTTCCTGTTCTTTTGGACATTTTAAAGTATCTGGTCGGAAAAAAAATCCAAGATAAAATCAGAGTGAACAATTTAAAAGTCTGTGTCCAAAAAGGAAGAAAAAAAACCTCTGAAAATGTTCTGGAGTTTGGTTCATGTGTTAATAGGGCTGATGTGCTTGAGATCACCCTACTCTTACATTTTATCTAATGCACTATTTAATTAAGAGGAGAAATGAGGATAAGATGCTTTAATCCGCATCTGAAATCTCCCATAAAAAGTCCAGTTATGAGACCAAAGAGCAAACACCAGGAGGTTTCTCTCCTCATGAGCAGAGAGAGCTTAGTGCTTTAGGTTTCTCTCACAGCTACACAGAGCAGGTCAAAGGTCAGTGGTGTGAGAGATGGACGAGTGCTGGCTCTGCGCGGCCAACCTTGAGGGTCGGGTTCGGGCTGTGACCTCAGAGAGACGCTCACATGCGTGACAACAAACTGAATATTGAAGACATGAAGATGAGCTCGCTTTCTTCAGATCCACTCGGATATTTTCCACCTCAGTGAATTCTACTCTGACACCTGGTGTTTGAAATGGGTACTGCAGTCCAAATTCTAAACATTGTAGAGAGCTGTCCTCTCCCCCCCTTCTCTCTAGAGTTGATGCTCACACAGGTCACCATGTGGTGGACTCTGAAACTTCAGTGTTTATCCAGCTCTGCATGGGTCTGTAAACCTTTCTGTGTTCTAACCTCTCTCCATTTTTCAAAAGCATCTCCAATATTGATCCTAGTTTGAGCACGTTTCTGCTCTTGGAGCTTATTAGAAACATGCAAGATCCACTTCTCTTGTTGGTTTGACCTGATAACTGCTCTCATATCTGACAAACCGAGGGGCGTCCAAAACGGCCGTGTGGGGGGGGTGTCTTAAAAGCGCCTACCTTCTCTGGTCCAAACAAATCCAGAGCATTCAGGAGCAGAATCTAAAGTTAGAAGGAGGACATACTGGCTGCTGCATTGTTGTCAGAGAAGCCAGCACTTCAACATAGCATGTTTCCTTAATGATCAGAGAGTAAGATACCTTTATCATCTCACTCTCTACACATCTCACTGATTGGACCTTTGAGTAAAGGAAGTTTAAATCCTCATGTTTGAGAGTTTAACAACAATTCATATCAACTTATTTATCCACATTAAAAGTCTATTGAAAGTAAAACTTAACCACAACTTTGCCCAACAAACATCTACATAGTGTAAGAGGTAACTTTGGTCTAACAACAGGTTATGGTTTGTCTGTGGGTGGACTTCACTGGAACAAACTTCAGCCCTCACTAACTCCCTGGAACACAAAGCAGACATAGTGTAGGTGTTGTTGCACGCTCGGTTTCTCTCCACAGAGCTGGAGACGAGGCTAATTAACCAGCAGAGTCCGGAGCAGCCTGGGCCGGACTCCCCAGTGATCTGCACACTAATAACCCAGAGAGAGAAAGAGAGAGAGAGAGAGAGAGGACAGAGGGGGCTGCTGACATGTCGACGCTGTTAAGAGAGGGATCGCTGCCCAACGCAGAGGATACCGGCCAACCAGCTCCCCCCATCAGCTGACAGATGACGGCACTGAGAGCAAAGTCTCCAGAGAGCGAGAGCGGCATAAATACAGGCCGGAGGCTCCAAACCCAGCAATCAAAGCGAGACAGAGCGGGGCGAGAGAGAGAGAGAGAGAGAGAGAGAGAGAGAGAGACTGAAAATACGACAGGAGGAAGAACCAGCTGTCTCTGCTTTATAGTGAATGATGTTTCAGCGCTTACATCCTCCAGGAAGCAAGAAATCAAAAGAGGACTGTAGGAGCATGAAATCAATCTCATTATATATTCAATTTAAGATAAAGAATAAATCGTGTCCTTACGGGCGCTCACATGAAGCTCCACGACAACGGCCGATCGTTTGATATCGTTTATTTCCCGATCAGACCCGGAGCGAGGAGGATGTGCAGTACAAGACACGATCCGCTACGGGGAAAAATAATATACATTTGGAAAAGAGCGCAGTGACTGCAGCACAATGCACAAACCACTAGACTACCGGCGCCCTGAAACTTTTTATTCTTTATCTTTGTCGCCCTTGAGCTCCAGCATGAAACCAAAACAACTCACGCTGCATTGTTGTGTTAGCATGCTAATGCTAGCGATCTTTATTATGCTGGTATCTTCACACTGCATGTAAATTTACCTGAAATGAGCGTGATCTAGAAACGCAGTGAGTACAGTATGTTATTCTTCTTTTCTCTAGTCCCTCAATTAAACAACTTTTATACACGAGGGGAGGAGTCAGCCGGCCGTCCTGGCGATGTAAACAAAGTGAAGATAGGACTCTGAAAACTCTGAAAACATCACAGACAGTGGGACTCGGGTGTTACACCCATTGTAGACAGTCATGACTCACAGAGTTATTTTCAGAGGATATACTTGATTTCTACATTTAAGTTTGAAAAATCACAAATAAAGGCTCTAAGTTACATAAAAAGTTTGATCTATGCAAATCACGATCTTCTGCAGCTTTAATTCCAGCGAAAAGAGCCTCGAAATACGACGCTGTGTTCTTTAAGAAAATGCCGCAGACACACAGGAGAAAGTGATTTTCATTTCTCTACAGCTCAGCTGGAGTTGGTCATTTTGAATGCCGATTTGGTTACAGAAACAGCCGCGGCTTTAGATAAGCTCAATGATTAATTCATTAGGAGAGCTGTCCTCTCTCTCAGCTTACAAGGAGCTGCTGTTTACTGCCAGGAGGGAATCAGAGTAAACCTGCAGCCCCACAAAAACACCACCAGAAAGAAGAAGTGGATCATGAATAATGTGCGCACTGTGTTCTCCACAAAAGGCGAGATTAAGACTTCAGCCGACATGTGCGAGTTAAGGCACAGGAGAGGTTATTATTGGACACACGGCATTATGCTTTGAAGGAGGTCAGACATCATTAACCTGCCTCTGTAACAAAGGAAACCAATTCCATCTTCAAGCACAAACGTTTATAAGAGCGGGCCATTATTTCAGACCTGAAGTCAAAATGTCATCAGACCTGAAGTCAAAATGTCATCAGACCTGAAGTCAAAATGTCATAACCACATCGAACAGAATCCACAGGTCAATGAGCCTATCAAGCAAACATCATAGAGCCGAGGTAATCAGCAACTCATGATGACACACATCACACAGATATTTTCTACATGTAGTTTTCCTTTCTCTCTTTGTCAATAGTGTGTTTGCATGGAACCACACTGTGCAGAGGATCTATTGTTTCTCCCACGATTGGTGCCAAACTCAATCCATTTCTGAGGGTCTTGAACCCGAGCGTACTGGACGATTTCAGGCCGTTTCAGACCTGAATCAAAAAGACTTTCCTGGAGAGGATGCGCTCCATACACCTATTAAATGCCTGAGGTGGAGGGATGCTGCCCCACCCACCCACAGTCAGCGGCTGAAGGACCTTATGTCCTGTTTAGACCTCGAGAAGATTCACTACTCGGTCAATGGCTGTAACGAAAAAAATCAAAAAGATGTGGGGACCACATTCAGAAACTCATCAATTTAAAGAAACACTCTCCTCTCCTCCACTAGTCTTTTTGAATATACATCTGTGTTATATTAATATCATACAATTTGAATCCTTATTGCCTTTCTTCCATACTTTTGCACTTTTCTGCTACTTGTCCACTTCTGTATTTTTCCCAACGCACAGTATGTTATTTTAATTTATTTCCTTATTTTTTTCCCCACGTGATTCTTTTTATTTCAGGGTCTATGAAACCCAAATTCCAGCACTTGCTTGTCCTTTAACTGCAGAATTTTAAGTTTAAAAACTGTGATCGAAATTTCCGGCAGTAGACAAGGATTTGAGGGAGTGATGGAGGAGGTTGCTGATCCTTTTGTATCTTTTGCTCATTTCAAGAGCTCACTGTACTGTATTAATCTGTATAAAAAAACTAATAAAAAAAAAAGAAG